GCGGCGCGCGCGGCCCCGGCCCGGCCGCTCTCCCGGCCTCGCGCTGCACATTCTCTCCTGGCGGCGGCGCCACCTGCAGCAGCGTTCGCCCGAACATGGCGACACGGAGTAGCAGGAGGGAGTCGCGACTCCCCTTCCTATTCGCCCTGGTCGCGCTGCTGCCGCCCGGGGCTCTCTGCGAGGTCTGGACGCAGACCCTGCACGGCGGCCGCGCGCCGTTGCCCCAGGACCAGGGCTTCCTCGTGGTGCAGGGCGACCCGAGCGAGCTGCGGCTGTGGGCGCGCGAGGCTACCCGGGGGGCGGACGAGAAGCCGCTCCGGAGGCGACGGAGCGCTCCCCTGCAGCCAGAGCCCATCAAGGTGTACGGACAGGTGAGCAGTTTGCAGCCCGCCTTCCTCCAGCTCCTTCCTCTCCCTGCACTTCCTCACCCCCGCATCCATCCTTTGCAGTCGCCTCCCAGGTGCAGGCACCACTGGGGACTTCCCGGCTTGCATTTGTTTTTTCCCCCCACACATGAGTACAACCGTCAGCGCTTGAATGCATTGATCTTTCCTTCTTCCTGTCGATATTAGCAAACGTGTTCCAGGTAACTCGCGGGGTGCAGTGCCTGTTTCCCCAGGGTCTGTGCACACCGGTGTAGTTTCCGGCAGGTATAGGAGGGGTGCAGCTTCATTTTACGTGTGGATAAAAAACGGATTTTCTTTAGTGTATCATCAGTTGGCAGTGGAGGCGAGCACCCTGCGGTTGCAGTACACTTACACAGAACGTGCCACGCTTACCATTTTTAACCTCAATTAGGGTGGGCAACCCCGAAAGCTTGCTTGTCTTGTATAGCCAAAGCCAGAGGAGTATGTGTGTGTGTAAGAGCTGAATTTTTTTTGGGGGGCGGTTGGAACCTCCCCCCTCCCCCAAGATATTGACTTTATGTTGAACAGGAATATCCCTTATGGCACTTGGGGATTTGAAAGACTGCAAGAATTTGGTGGGCATTATTATTCAGTAAATGATTTATTTCTATCCAGGCAATAGGTTTATTAGATCATAAGTAACATGAATTTCACTTTTATGGCCGAACTTACTGCTAGGAATTGCAAACCGAGTTTGTGTGTTTGTATCAGTGTTGGCAAAATTAATTTGACCATGTTATTGCCTCACGAGACTCCCGGTCCCGGGGTTAAGATTGACATCACAAGACCTGGCAGGTCGGTGGGGGAGAAAGAGGGGGACCCATGGAGGTGGTAAGTTGCACGATTTCTAGAGTCAAAATGTTCCCTTAAAGTAGAAATTAAAAGATTAGTCTGGGTTCTGCCTCTCTTCACCGGTTTTCCTTTAGCCATTTCTTCAGGAAATATATAGAGTTCAACGTTCAACCCTTGGAGCCAGGAAGAACCTGGCTCTGTTGTGTCGTCTTGTTGAAGAAAGCAAAGCTGGGAACGGTGAAGGGACCAGCCCAAGGTCACACGGGGCAGGATTGCCTGCTATTTAGTTATTGTCTGCATTGTCTCAGTGGTCGAATAGTTGCCCTGTCTTTATAAAATGCTTCTTAAATACTTCTTTTTAAATCCTATAAAATATATGTTATAAATATAATATATGTAACTGAAAGGGGGAGGGATGGTGGCGAGTAGGTGGGAGCATTTGACTTCCATCCGTTGTCAGCCCCTGGGCAAGAGCGTGTGCCGGTGGGCATGGAACTGCTGGTGAGTGGGGGCTGCTGGAACCTGCTGGCTCTGTTCCCTCTCGAGTCCAGATCCTTGTCCCCTCCACCCCACCCCACGCCATCTGAAACTTCTTTTTTGTATTGTTGAAAAGAAGTCAGCAAGGTCCTTGCTCTCAACAGGGACTCCAGCATCCTGATGGAGAGGGAGGGGGGAAGAGAAGCTCCCTTGTTACTGAGTCTTCCCAGTCAGCCCCACTCTGCTCTGGGCTTGAATCAGCAATCTGGGGGCTGGGAGTGGGGAGCAGGGGAGACCATGCCTTCCAGAGCTCAGGTCCCCCGCAGCTAAAGTTTTAACTGAGGGAAGAGCTTCTTGGTCTCAAAACTATGCATACAGATGCTATGTCTTCCTTGGGTTTGGTTTGTGAAAGCCGCTGGGGATTTGGGGCAAGTTAAAGATGAACACGGTTCTCACTGGGAGTGACTCCGAAACGCTTTTATATTTCTGAGCCAGCCAGATTGAGTTCGGTTCAGTTGAAGGATGGAGAACTAGCAGTTGCACTCATAATGAGGAATTCCCACCAACGGTGAAGACGCGGCAGTGTGATTTCTCTGAGGCTGCCTCCCTAGCCATTGTTCTCTGTTGCCCTGAGGTTAATAAAAGTAGGATTAACTTGAATCTTTAAGGCTTTGAGTTAGAAAGAAGGAAGAACTTCCTGGTACTGGGCTTTCTGCCACAAGCTCTATCTGGTGCAGACCCTTCAGACCACGAGCACAGGAATCAGTGACTGAAGGGGGCTTGGCAATGCCCCTCTTGGAGCTCCGGAGTAACTCACATCTATTTGGAATGACCTTTCTAGCAAGGGTGACCATTTACCGCTGCTTTCCCTGGGACAGACCTGGTTTATAAATTGTCCCTGCTGGTTATGAAAAGTGCTGCCTTCACTCTCAAAAGTGTCAGGGTGTGGAGTATAAATTGTGTGGCCATTCTATGTCTAGCCCGAAGCCAAGCTCCAATTTATACACAACTCCCGCCCCTCCCCCCCAGCCCCTTAACTTGTAAACCTAAGGAATTGCAGTGTTTTCCCATAGTATTGCTTGAATTGAGTGTGATTCTATATAGACTTGGAGATGCAGATGGGGGCAGGGAATTTTTCATCCCTGCTTTTAGAAAACTACAATTTAAGGAGGAGATAAAGCAGATGCAAATGCCGGCATGTAAATGTACTAGACAGGAACAAGTAGCACGGACGCCGTAAACCTGCCACAACTCTACAGTGAGGTGTTAGTGGGTGTCTGGTATGGGAGGGCGTGGGAGATGGAGTGATAAAGGGTCAGTGGGCTCAGACACTTTGCAGCTTCTTGCCCTCTGACCTTTGAGTGGGGTTAAGAGGATCCCTGGCAGCACAGATTAGGGCTGGAAGCAGAAGCTGCCTGATTGAAGAAGCCCTAGGGGTGATGTTAAAGCCATGAGCTTCAGGGAGAGGAGCAAGGAGGGCCTTTGCAGGGAGGCATCTGAGGAAGAGCCCTGGGCTGGAGAAAGTCGGTTCTTTCTCTGGCTCCCCTAACCCTATGGAGTAAACTTGGCTTAGTTATTTTGACCACATTCATCCTCATGTTCCTCAGTGTAGGAGACTAGTTTCTGCCATGATTATTTAGAGGCAGGTTTATAACAATGAAATACGGTGATAGTGGTGAAAACAATTTGCTATCAGATATTAGGACTTTTCTGCCCAAGTTCACAGTTCAGAAATTGAGCCCCTTTTAAAAAGGGCCAAGTCCAGGAATGGGGATTCCATAATTCCTGCCACACTGAATTTCTTCCTGATTTTATGTCAGCTCCGTGCCTCAGTGCCATCATACTCGCTTTTTCCTCTGCCTGGAATGGTCTTGCCCCACTCCTGTCTTTGCCTGTGAAACCCCTGTTCCATTCATTAGCATCCAAAGAAGACCCGGTATTCGCAGGCTCCGCTGGGAAGAGTTCTTTAGAGCTGGGTTATAGCACTTCCATCTTGTGTTAGAACTGCTTGTTTCACTGTCTCACCTCCCTGTTTGCTCCTTGAGGGTGTGGATCAAGTCTTTCTCTTCTCTGTGTCCTTGGCACTTGGGAGGCCCTTAATGAATATTTGTGGACTGACTGACCCCCTGGGAGAAGAGAGGCTTGGGAGCAGGAAGAAGATCCATGTTGTAGAAAAGGTATTTAGATCCCACAAATGGAGAGTGAAAACGAGTCAGCCCACTCGGGGGTGAGGATGAGAGTAGTGGAGGATGGAGCAGTTCCCTAGAGATGTAAAGCCCAGATTTTCCTGTGCTGTCCTGGGGGTTATTTTGAAAGAAAAGCTGGGATTTATTGTACAGAATCCTCCCTTTTAGGGCCATCATGGTATTGCTAATGGTATTGTTTTGGAGAAAAATCCTTTGGAATGAAACGCAAAGCCTAACAGGATTTACAGGTTTATTTTTCTTCCAATGAGCTCTCTCTTCATAATTCCTGCTTTTTAGAGGCCAGGGAGTATTCAGTGTCCTGATTTGAGACTGAAAATAAAGTGTCTGTTACAGCACAAGGCCTTGAGACAAAGAGCCTCCTTTGGGGGTGAAATACTGTTTAGTTTTAGATCTCTTTGGAGTAGATTCTCACACGATGCTCTTGCTTGGGAAAGAATTGGCTAGTTGATTCTGGAGTTAGGATGTTTGACCTGTATGCTTCCAAAATATGAGAAGGCAAAGCCTTTGCTGTTTCCCAAGTTGCCTTCTACATAGGTGAAGAGTTGCTTGGCTTGTTGGGTTGGCTCGATAAGGGATGTGACCTTGAAAAACTTCCTGGTTCCACTTGGCATCTCTTACTGTGTGCAGTTCTTTGCCCGGTCTCTAGCCACTATTTAGTTCATTAATAGCTTGTGTGTCTTGGGGCATGGTGGGTGGAGGCTTTGAGAGGTAGAAGGAATGGGAGGAAAGGGGACAGGGAGAGGAGTGAGGAGATGGAGAATTAAAGGGATGAAATGAAAAGCCATCCAATTTATTTATTTAGCCTTCAGTAGGTAATACGTTTACAAAACAAAATTTGTACAAAAGAGTACGTAGTGAGAAGTAAATTTCCCTTCCTCTTGTGGCCCCCGTTCACTCAGTGTCCCTTCCCAGTTGGCAACCACTGTCATCAGTTTTTCCTATGTCCTTCCAGAAACATTATGTGCATATATAACAAATATGTACATAAAATTTAAAACTTGAAAGATCAGTGGTTTCTGTTATCCATAGCCACTGATTTTCATGAGTAATGAGATTAACTCTAGCTCCAAAATATATTTATAGCCTTATGACTGTCAATAGGAAGGGAGTTACCTGAACTGTCATAGTATAAAATAGGCTATTACTTTTTCTGCAGGCCAGGTGAAAGAAAACTCATTTTCATTCCACTTTGAGGATTCCTGCGGGCCAGGAGAACAGCATTATATAGCCCTCTCTTGACTTGAAAAGATGCTGGAGAGCAGTTCCCTAGAGATGTAAAGCCCAGGTTTGTGAGAATGTCAGAATGCGGAGATCATGGATCTCGGTTTTAACTCATGTTGTTTTTGAGAATGTTTTCTTTACATTCTGTAAAATGAAGTTAATGGTATGCTTAATAAATTGCTTTGAGACCTGGGATCCAGGAGAAAGAGGCTAACAGCAGCTAACATCTCAAAGCAAAAGATAGATGTAGGAACGTTTCGTTGTCAT